TTGTTTTGCTTTCCATTCTTTCGTTTTCCTTATGCCGAGCTCTTTTTGCAGGTGTGATGGACGCAAAAAAGACTTGCGGTGGGAACCTGTTTCATGCCATGAAGAGGAGGAAGCGAGTTGCCAAACGGGCTCGTGCCGAACTGCCCCAAGATGCGGAGCGCGAGGTATCGCCGAACCACGCTCTTCAAAAAAGTAAGGTGGCCGTTTACCCTTAGGAGGTCGCGGCGTGGAGGTACGTGATAACTTTGCGCCATCTGGTTTTTTCTTGCCTTTGAGAAAATATTAACTTGAGCTTCAGAGCACTCTCACCGGGTTCCTCCCGGGAGGCTACTTGCTTTCTTCCCCATTTCAGGCACCTTTTGCTCCAGTCAGAGGCAAGATTGTTGATAGCTAGGACCGACCGGATTGCGCTCCGTCAATTGGCGCCGTCTGTGGGAAACGCTACAAAAAACTAAGTTCTCATCTTCTGAAAGGCTAAGTCCTCTTCTTCCAAAAAGCTAAGTTCTCACCTTTTAGAAACTAAAACTCTCACTTTCTAGTTTCCATTTTTTATGAACTCAAAGACTAAGTAGGAAGTTGATGGCCAACAGACTAAGCAGCTCTGTTGACTTTTCTTCAACTCGGATAAAGCCTCATCAGTCCTCTTCGCGAGGTACCCTCTACAAGATGAGCTCTTCTTGGCTTCCGCGGGAGTTGGCAGCCAACGGACTGCACGGACGCCCCTGCCGGTCGAGCCTTCCAAGGCTCTTGTGCGAGCTGGTGACTTAAAGTCAGTAGTGCTGCCCCCATAGGTCGAGCTCCTAGTAGCTTCTTGTAGGAGTGAGTGACCGGCGTCACTAACGAGGCTGATGCAGCGCAGTCGTAGCTCTAAAGTGCCGAGATGATAAAAGACCTCAACACCACATAAGACCCAGTTGCCTCTTCGGCATGGGCAAAATCAAGGAGAGTGGACTACGAGTCGCTCCCAGAGCCTAAGGGCTAAAGTGTCGAATTGATAGAAGACCTTGACACCGCTTAAGACCCAGTCTCCTCTTTGGCATGGGCAAAATCAAGGGTAAGGAGAGTGGATTACGAGTTGCTCCCAGAGCCTAAGGGCTAAGGTGCCGGGCTGATAAAAGACCTCTGCACCACGTGGGATCCAGTCGCCTCTTTTGCATGGGTGAAATATAAAGCAATTCGCATTCAACACGAGAAAACAATGGTAAAGACTAGTTCGCTCTCAGCACCATGATGGATGCAAACTTGATTTCTTCACAGTTGACCTCCACCTCGGTTGCAGGCTCCGCATCAAACTCACTGGCTAGGGCTAGCTCGAAGGACGCTGCGTCGAAGCCTACCTAGGTGGAGTGACCTGATAGAGAGGTCACACAGAACCCCCTCTTAAGGATGGCATGATGAGCTTCACTCTTGAGGTACTTAGCCAGATCGCAGAACCTCTTGATGGTCACATCCCTAATAAGGTAGATGTCCTCGGGGTACCTTCTCCACCTCTCCTCGAGCAGATGAATTCGCTCTCGGGCCCCAAAAATAAAGATGGCGAGGTTCTGCACAAGGCTGCAAACACTTGGACTCTGTCGACCTGAGAAGCAAATTGGATCGATGCTTACAAGCTCATCGAATTAGTTATCCCAGGCCAAAAGGAGCAATCTACTCCCTTCGTCGAGTTACTTTCAACTTGGGAGTGGGGGGCTATTGATGAGGGCGGATTTGGCCCTCCAATGACATTGTGACACGTGGCATCTTGGAACAACTAGGTGACACCTAGAACCACTTAGGCGACAACTTACCTTAGCCAAGATGATGGTGTCTCGACCTGGCGACCTGGCAGAGGTGCCGAACTAGCGATCTGGCCCAAGCGCTGAACAGACCTGGCGACCTGGCACTGACGCCGACCTAGCGACCTCGACTACAACTCGTCGGCTAGAAGCACCTCATCCAGGGCTGACCTGCAACACCTCGTCACTGGCTGAAGTGACCTCGACGCAAGGAGAGACCTCCCTCAAGGGCGTGCCGGTGAAGAGGGAAGTCTTGAGTGGTGTGCGAGGTGAAGTCTTGAGTTCAGATAGAAGTGTGGCCCGAACTGCCTTGGGGTGGGCCAGTTCGGGTTGTTGCCCCTTGCGCTCCTCGTAAGGCTCAGGGTCAAAGGGAGAGTTCGAGCCCCTTTTGGGGAGCTCGGACAATGGGTTCCTCTTCTCGGAGCTCGTGCCTTGAGCGCACTGCTGTGTCGAGCTGTCGCTCCTGCCAGGTCACCCTCGGTTGCTTCCACGTGTTGGGTGGCCAAGAGGTCGGGCCAAATCTTCCTCCATCAGTTTGGGTGTTTAGTTAGCAGGTTTTCTTTTTCAGGGGGAATTAGCTATAAAAAAAGGGAAATATTAATGTAAAAAAAAGTAAAAAATAAATAATAATAAAATATTTAGAAAATAAAAAGGTAGGTTCCATAAAACAAATAGGCCAATAGGTGTTTTATAAGAAAAATAGCAAAAAAAGAAGAAAATATAAATAAATATATAAAAACAAAAAAATAGAAGAACAAAAAGAAAAGAAATAATATATATATATACACACACATAATCAAAATAAATAAATAAACAAATGAATGAAATAAAGAAAAAAATGATGAAAAATAAAAGAAATGAAAATAATAATAATAAATAAAGGAGTGTAGTTTCTCTTTTGTTGAGTTGTTTTTGATTTGTTGCTTTCTTATCATTACTATGTTTTTGGTGGATTAATCTTATATTTGGCTTGCTTGGGATGTCATGTGGGCCCCACCTATTTGGACCCGGGAGAGGGGTGCCTAACCCCTTCCCTCTCCCATCCAAGACCTACCCAGACTGGTTTAGCCAGTGCTTTGGGCTTTTGGAATTACTAATAAACCAAAAATGCTTTCCGATGTATATCCTGGAGGTCCCATCACCTCCTTTTCATTTACTTGATGGGTGGCGAGTGGCGACTCCATTTGCAGGCCAAGTGAGCCATTTTCCCGATGCTCACAATTATCATGTACAAGAAAGGACTCAAAACTTACACCCCTAAACAGCCTGTGACCAGACAACCAAGAAAACATCTTCCCCGCAATTTTCTGAAAAATGGAATTGTCAGAACTTGTCTTGCTTTTGAAGAGCTGAGTGTTTCTTTCTTGCCACAGACACCAAAATACCACTGCTGGGGTTAAATTCCAAATTAATTTCCTCTTTTACTCAGACTCTCCATCCTCTAACCTTTTATAAAATCCTCTACTGAACCTGGGCAGCAACTTTTCAATTCAAATAAGTGTGAAATTCTCTTCCAGTTGTCCTTTGCATAGAACACAGCTATTTGAATACAGTACAGCACCCTTCCGAGAGAGGTTATCCCTTGTAAGTATTCTGTTGAGATATGCCGTCCAGACAAAAGAGATATTTTTGAAGGCACATTTTTACACCAGATGATGTGGGTTGGAACTGAATGTCCTTCTGAACTGTCCAGAGCCTTGTAAAAACATTTAACTGTAACTTTCTAGTCTTCTCCCACTTCCAGATTCTACTATCAGCCCTTGCAGACTCCAGTTGTGTACTGTAAAGAAGTTGCAGTAGCTCCATCCACTCTCCTCCACTTCCTAATCATTTAGATTCCTCCTCAATTGTGGAATCCAAGCCATACTACCATATTGGATTTGCAAGCTTTCCACAACCTTAACTTCTACGCTTGCTTTAACTTCAAACAAAGCAGGGCTCTCGTTCAAAGGCCCTTCCACACCAAACATTCTTCCAAAATTTGATCCTCTCCCCATTTCCTACCTTGATCTTCACACCTTTTGCAAACCAATGATAGTCTTTTCAATACCTTTCCAAACTGAGCATCCATAGGACTGATTTGAAGTTCCTAGATCCCATCCAAAATTTCTATCACCATACTTGGCCTGCACCACCCTTCTCCACAGCCCTCCTTGATTCTCCCCAAATCTCCAAAACCACTTCCCCAGCAAAGCAGTATTGGTACTTTTCACCCTTCTAACCCTCAACCCCCCTACAGATTTGGGCTGGCATACCTTGTTCCAGCTTTACCAAGTGGTACTTCTGCACTTTCCAGCCTCTCCAGAGGAAATCTCTCATCTTCTTTTCAATGATAGCAGCCATTCCTGTCGGAATTGGGTACAAAGAAAGCAAATACATTGGGAGGGAGGAGAGCACACTTTTCACCAGGGTAACCTTGCTCTCATCTTCTTTTCAATGATAGCAGCCATTCTTTTGAAGCCTTTGAACAATTGTCTCCCAGATTGTTTTGGAGTTGCATTTTGTATCTAGGGGCATGCCCAAATATTTTAGCGTCATCTTTCCCAGTTTACATCCTCATGATTCTGCCCAACTGGTCAGCTCCTCCACCTCTTCCACAACCACTAACTCACTTTTGCTTAAGTTAACTTGCAGGCCCGATACTACTTCAAATCATTTCAGTACATCACAAAATAAAGCTGCTCTTGCAATTCATCACAGAAGATAAAAGTGTCGTCAGCATGCTGCAGTAAACTAACTCCACCCTCTCATTACCTACTGTAAAACCTTCTAGAAAACCCCCTGAACCAGCCCTCTTCACCGTACAAAGGTCTTGATCTTCAAAGTATATGGATACTCATATTTTTTTTTTCATTATTTGGATGGTTTGGATCATTAAAACTGCTTATTATTTGGTTGTGCACCATAAAAGGTGAGTCTTAGAAGTTAAAAATATGATCCACAATGGATAATCATTAGGTCATGGCTAAGATCATAAAAAACTTGGCTTTGACATTCTTATTAAACCTTAGAAATACTAATTGGAGTTTTAACTACTAAGTCATTTCTTTAACAGAAGTTCTTTCTCTGTAATAGAGGAACAAAATTGGTTTTGCCAATCCTAACTTGTTGGGTATTTGAATTGCAATTCTAAGTATGAGGATTCAAAATTTCAATGTTTTCCATTAATTACTTCTTGTGGCTCCAACGAATTTATAAAATCAAGTCACTACATTGTCTATCCAGGAGGTGTCCTAACTGATCATCCAGATCAATCCATATATCAACCGGTTGGATGTTTATTAGCGTGTTGTGCCATCTACTTAATGGAGTTGCGCCCTTAGTTGAAGTTGGACTTTCTCTTAAAGGGATATAAAGCTCGACAGCTTATTAACCCTTGTTTTATATAAAGATTAACTTATATGCTTTATAATTGATACTCTTGTCATGGAATTGCAGCATTGCTCAAAATGAGGAAAGGGTTGCACCCTCAGATGCAGTGGATATCCTATGTGACGCAGAGTGGGAGGTTGATGCATGTTATGATGACTAAAATTCATAATGTTGGTAAAGTATACCACTTCAGGGCAAGGCGCCAGATGGCCCAGAGTTTAGGGCAGATTGCCAAGTTCAACCGTCGCTATGGGCTGAAAAATGAGGAAAACGAAAATAAATGAAATGTTTGATAAAAAGAGAAGGTTGAGACCTTTCTTTTCTTTCTTTTTATTTATTTTATTTTAATTTTTTTTTGTGGGGTGGGGGGTTAGATGTTGGGTTTTTTTAACTGTTGTCTAACGTGCCACATCTTTGAAGCAAAATGGTTGCTATTCCTTTTTTGGTCTAGATATATTTCTGCAGTATCTTTTGTTAAGATTTAGTCTCATTATGCTTAGCATTCACTATTTATGAAATAATGAGAACAAGTCATTTGGTCTGTAGATTTTATGGCAAGTGCACATTACAGGTGCAGGGGCTTTAGTTGACCATGCTCCCATGAAATTATTTAAGCGTTGTAAAATGCACTTGGTCAAATGCATGTTTATGACCCGGTAGGAGCCAATATTTCCTCGTGTGAAGAGCACTTTATTTTGATAAGAAAACATCATCAAAATAACAGCAGAAACACAACAGCCACCAAGGAGGCACTAAAACACAACATCAGAAAAGAAAATTTCAAGGCCGAATTGTGAGCCTCAAATCTGGATTCTGAATGATGTAACCGAATTGCTTATCAAAAAAAAAAAAAAAAATCAAGGCTTTGTTCCTCACAACCTCACAGCGCATCCCACCGTGTATGGAGAACATCTCCCATGAGTTGAGCTTGAGCATATCCAAATTCATGAGTGAGGAGAAAATCTGGATTCTGAATGATGTATCTAATTTTAGAGTTTGGATCTGTTTCTCACAAAGCGCGTTTCACACTGATCTTACAGCATGTCTTGATTGCACATTGGTAACATTTCTTGTACTTGTATTTATTTTTTATAGGGAGATGTTCTTAATATAGGGCATGGTGGGATGTGGTTGTGAAGTCTGTGAGGTGCGCTCAGTGAGGAGCAGATCCCGACTACTAATTTCAAGGTTGAATGCAGCATAGAGTATGTAGGGGTGTCAATTGGATTGGATTTGGATTTGCTCCAATCTGTAGGGGTGTCAATTGGATTGGATTTGGATTTGTTCCAATCCGATTCAGTCTAATGTGAGTCCATTATAAATGAATCAGGTCCAATCCAATGAATATTTTGGACCGGTCCAATCTGTTCAAATTCGTTTTGATTTAGATTGGTTTCAACTCAAACTTGGTCCATTGACACTTATATTCTTATCTTATATCAATGGACTAGATATTAGCTTAATCCATCCCAATCCAATATAACTTTATTATGGACGGACCAAGTCTAATCCAATGTCTTGTGGGTCTGTCCAATTTGTTCAAATTGATTTTGGATTGGATGGGGTCTAATCCAAAACCGGTCCATTGACACCCTTAAGAGTCTAGATCATTCCTCACGGTGTTCCTCACCAACCTCACAATACGTCCCAACCTCAAATTGGAAACATCTCCCATACTTGTGTGTTATAATTCATAGAGAACGACCCCCATACTAAGTACGGGGTAACTAAATGTGTGTATAATTTCGTTTGCAGTTTACTATTTAGTTATCAAAAATTAAATTAAAAAAACTAATATGAGTCTTGCATCCTTGTAATTGACAATCTATTTTGACCTATTTTATTTGAAAACCATTATTAATTTATGTTTTTAATTTGATTTAAGATATTAAATGAGATCTTATTCGTAAATAAATAACCCACTTTATTTGGTATTTACTATTTATCTAATAAATCTATTTTGAGTTATTTATTTTTTAAAAATTAAATTAGGCTGCTTCCTAAAAGTTAAATCAAGTTTGTAATTAATAAAGTATTTTCTTTCTGGAAAAAAAAGAAAAGTGGGTTTATAGTAATCTTTTAATGGGTCCCACCATTTGTATTTAATAAGCTATAGATAAACATGTGTTAAGCTAATAAATAATTGTTTATTGAGAATGTTTAAGAGTGAAACTACCCACTTTTTGAATCCTATTTCTTGAATTAATAGGATGACATGCATCTGAATGGTGGTATTGGGTTGTGGGTTTTAGTAGCAATTTCTCAGAAAATGCCACGTGTTTAATTTTCTAGAAAAATGAGAAGGCCACATGTCTAAATGGTGGGGGCTGTAGCCTGGTAGTGGGCTATGGGCTTTAGCAGGAAGTTCTCATAAATTGCCACGTGTCTATCTTTCCAGAAAATGAGAATGCCACTTGTCTGAATGGTGGTAGTGGGTTGTGGGCTTTAACAACAACTTCTCAAAAACTGCCACATATCTAAATTTAAAAAAATATGAGAATCCCATGTGTCTGAATAATGAGGGGCTGTAGCCTGAAGACCTTCCTTACATATAAACAATTAAGTAGATCCATAACTAATTTGGAGCCCCATAATTTGCCACCTATCCTAGATTAGGATGACGAAAGCCCAACATTTCTTGTGTCCAACCTTGAAGATTAACTAGACCAAGAATCTGCTTAAATTCTTGCCTAAAACATGTGTTCTTGATGGAAGTATTTGAACAGAAGTCAAAACTTTATTTAATCTTTTTCGAAGTTCTGAAACTGATGCATGGATCATCTTAGGCGGTAACAATTCAATGGAGAATCTTGCTTTTTTTGAATATCTACTATGGTGTTATTATACTCAGATCAGATAGAGAACCGTTTTGGTGGTCATAGGTTGAATGGTTCAAGTTCAACCATCTACTTGAATAGTTCAACTCATTTCCACCTAAGAAAATCCTGACCAACCATCCATTACCGTAATGAAAGCCAAAATTTCATCTGAATATCTATCACTGAGAAAAAGAACTAATATGTTACCATAATGAAAGTCAATTCTTCTCAACAAGTTATAGACTAGTGTCCTCTCCAAATGGTACTCCTTCAACATCCAACTATCACTGAGAGCTTCTCTATCATTAAAAAGGACTCTTTGCTTCCAACTTCATACTTCAGTTTAGTTTGAAGTACAACCTTCAAAGTATTGAAATTTAACTTCTATGTCCTTTTGGTTCCAACTTTATCCTTATGAGCTTTCCTTCAACTTTCTGTTTCTGATCTTTCTTATTTTCTATCAAATCAAACATAGCTTTAGGGGAGTGTCAACCAAAACTCAAACAGAAAAACCTAATCAAGGCATATATATGTTGAAAATGGATAAAACATGAGTCAACTCAGCTCAATCTTAACCCCTACTATTTAGATATTTGGAGTTGGCTAGACAAATCTTATCCTATAATTGTCAAATTATAATCCCTTAAACCTTTTTTTAGGTGTAAATTCAGTTTTACACTGATGGAAAATGGGACCCTGGTTTAGTGATCGATGGAAAATGGAATCATGGTATTTGGAATTTTACGCTCTTGTTGTTTGGTTGTTACGGTGTAAAAGTGAAAGGCTTCCCACTACTTTGCCTTGAAACTCTTCCTGTTGTCTTAGGAACCCAATTTAGAAGATAATATAGCGCTGGTCTTTGGAACCCAACATCAGAGAGAGATGACGGTGGCAATGACTACCCTTAGCTTTAGGGGAAGTGAGGGTGGTTCTCAAAGGGAGCGGGAGGTCAATGTGGTTACTTGGTTTGGTAGCCTAAATGGTTTGATGCCAATCTCTACTTCAACGGCTTATACCAAGAGCAGAAATGAACCAGACATTCTGTTAGCTTCAATGGTGGCCACTACTGGCTTGTCGCTATTGGAAACAGGTGTAGACTCAATAAAACCCCCACTTTCAGCATCTTGAGGTAAGGGAAGGTAGACATGAGGTGGGCCTTTACAAATCAGATCATGGAAGAGAGCAGCGAAACTTATTCGTACAGAGGAGACTGTTGGATGGAGAAGAAGGTAAAGTTTTTTGATGTAAACTTTCCACTGATTTTTGAGGAAATAGTGATAAGAATTGGACTTTTACACCAGGTATATTAACACTTCTATCAAATGCCTACAAAATCGGACTGAGGTGTAAAGTTTATTCTGGTTCTCATTTACACCTCAAACAAATGTGGCCTTAGGATAAAAAACTTAAACCCCCTCTGATATTTCATCCCCTGATTTTCTTGAAATGGACTTAGACCTCCCTTGTCAAGTGACATCAACAAACAAAAACCTCCCATTTGTTAACTTTCCATCCATATCTGTTAGCATGTGACATCTTATATGGTTTAATCTTTCTAAAAATCCCATTTTCTACCTTTATTACCTTCTTGCTTGGTTCCTTATGTTTGGACAAAAATCTTCCCTCACTGAGAAAAGACAAAGATATCGGTCACTAGAGTCCAATAGCTTTGTGCAGTAGAGTAGATAGTGTAGGTTCCAATATGTCTGTAACTTGTATGTGTAGTTTGAGTTTCGTGGGATTATGGAATTGGTTCCTATACTCCATCTTGCCCAGATGATGAAGGAATGCACATAAGCATTAGAAAATCGATGAACTTAAGTCGGTTATTAAAAGAAAAAAAAACAGAATATCAGAGGCCTATGACATTGGGAGAGGAACATTTAGGTTGATGAATTTTCATTATAATGTTTGAAATTTTGAATGAACACCACACCCGATTAAAGCAAAAACAGGACAAGACACTAGTTTTTACAAAAGCATGTGTTGAAAAAAGAGGCATTTGGCAACTTTAAAATACTTAGAAAACAAGAAAAAAAAGAAACAAGCAAATATTTCTCAAAACCACAAATAAAAGGTAGGAAAAGTATAGATCAACAAAAAAAACGAGTGTTTTTATCAAAAAAAAAAAAAAAAAAACAATGAACATCCTAAGCCGTATACAACTGGAGAAATTAACAGAAGACTCACCCTATCAACAAAAAATGTCCTTTTGATTTGTTATGACCAAAAAATTGGCCATTGATAAGAATAATCTTAAAAATCGTTGATGAGTAGAGATACAAAATCGTTGGTGATAGTTGTCTGGTAAAATTAATTTAATTATATAACTGAGCTAATAATGAAGTGTTTATCTAGAGGCTTGAAAGCTAAACTATTGAGGGGCACCAGTACTGTTTAACTAATCGGTACATGTTAAATGTGTTTTAAAAATGGGAAAATTTCTTAAACTACCCCTACTGTTTAGCTAATTAACAAACTATATCTTTACTATTTAAATATTGTCTTAAACCATTCCTACTGTTTTCGATAATTGACTAGCTTTTTACCCTTGCCGTTTGCATATGTTAATGTTCCATCAAAATCCATACATACATGACACCATGTGACATATAATTTTTTTTAAAACCCAATATTACCCTTGCTCCCTCTCTTCTTCTTCTTCTTCTTCTTCTTTACAATCTTCTTATGAAGTGGCAAGCTTTGGGCTCCTGAGTTTATAAATT